ATGTAAGCAATGCAGCAAAAGCTGGCACTAAGATAACCAAGTGTGGCTATGTTAAAAGCATTAGAGAGGAGCTGTCAGAGTATCAGAAGCCAAAAACAACCTTCAAAGTTTCTAACCTTCCTATTAACTACTACTCTTACAATCAAGGTTTGTTAATTAAAGAAATCAGATGAAAAACTGTGCTCTGAAGCTGCGCTTACATATTCTGTTTTCCAAGACCCTGATTCTATATCAGACAGCAGGAGCTTTATAACTGATTTCAACAGGTGCATGATCAGGCCTTTTATGTACAAAGCATACTGGTGCCATTTGGAGCTGCATACACACAGGTGAAACCAAATATCAAGCATGAAACTCACTGCATAGAGCTAGCAGTGTCTACTGCCCAACTTAACCTACTGCCCAACTTAAATCTAAAACAAAAATTAGGTATCTGAAACCCTAAGATTAGTCTGACACATTCTCTACTTAAGATAGCATAGAAAAAAAAAGAGAAAGAAGTTTAAATGGAAAAGGAAAAAAGCAATGCACTTACCTCTGAAAAGAGTCCACCTCCTGTAAAAACTTTTCACACATCCCAAAAAGGGGTTCCACTCTGAAGTGAATATGAATGGAAAATAAAAGGGAAATTAGAGAGAAACTGGCTAGTCCCATAAACATTGTAAAGCTACATGGAAATTTTAGAAGACAGTACGGATAAGCAAAATCCTAAAGATAATATGAAGCCACTGTGATACTACCACAACCCTCCCCCATAGCCCCCACAAAAAAACCAATGCTTTGCATTTACATAACAAATGATAGTGAAGAGACTCTCAGTGCCAAGGTGAAGTCCTCCACTCTATAGATGGGAAATTGAGAAGCAAATAGGTAAAATAACTTCAAGGCAATGGAATACATCAGTAGCAACCAAAAAATAAAAGCCCAACTCCTAGCTATCTTCCTAGTATTTTACCCAAACTCCACCAAGCTAAAATTACAAAAACTTGAAGTCATTTAGAACTTTACTTACTGGAGTAATCAACCTAAAGTTAATAAAATATGATCTGTTTTATTAAGATCATGCATGTTCCTAATCATGTTTATTAAGATCATCTCTATTCAGATCATGTATGTTCCCGATCACAAGCCCTGGTTCTCATGGGGGACTTCAATCGCCCTGACACCTGCTGGGAAGGCAGAACAGCAGTGCACAGGCAACCCAGGAAGTTTTTGGAGAGTATATGAGTCCTGGAGTAGCCAACTAGGTGCTGTGCTCTTCTTGACCTGCTGCTCACAAACAGGGAAGAATTGGTGGGGAATGTAGTAATGGATGGCAACTTGGGCAGCAGCAACCATGAGATAATTAAATTCAGTTCAAGATTCTGAGGAAAGGAAGGATGGAGAGGAATAGAGTAAGGACCCTTGATTTCAGAAAAGCAGACTTTGACTTCCTCAGGGAACTCATGGGACAGATCCCCTGGGAGGCCAAACTGCGGAGGGGGGAAGAGTCTAGGAGACCTGGCTGTATTTTAAAAAAGCCTTACTGAGAGTGCAGGAACAAGCCATCCTGACGCACAGCAAGATTAGCAAGTATGGCAGAATCATAGAATCATATTTTGGGGAGGAAGTGAGCAGCCAACAGTGGCAACAGAACAGATTAGGGACTACTTAGAAAAGCTGGACATATACAACTCCATGGGACCTGATGGGATGCACCTGAGGGTGTTGAGGGAGTTGGCTGATGAGATTGCAGAGCCACTGGGCATCATCTTTGAAAACTCATGGTGATCAGGAGAGGTCACAGATGATTACAAAAGGGCAAATGTGATGCCCATATTTAAGAAAGGGAAAAAGGAGGATCCAGGCAACTACAGACCAGTCAGCCTCACCTCAGTCCCTCGGAAAATCATAGAGCAGATCCTCAAGGAATCCATCTCAAAGCACTTGGAGAAGAGGGTGATTAGGAACAGTCAACATGGATTCACCAAGGGCAAGTTATGCCTGACCAACCTGATTGCCTTCTATGACAAGATGGCTGGCTCTGTGGATGCAGGGAGACCAGTGGATGTGGTATACCTCGACTTTAGCAAGGCTTTTGATACGGTCTCCCACAACATTCTCACAGGCAAGCTAAGGAAGTACAGGCTGGACTGTAAGGTGGATAGAAAATTGGCTGGAGCATCAGGTTCAGAGGGTAGTAATCAATGGCTTGATGTCTAGCTGGAAGCTAGTATTGAGTGGAGTGCCCCAGGGGTTGAGCCCTGGGGCCAGTTTTGTTCAATGTCTTCATCAACCACCTGGAAGATGGCATAGAGTGCACCCTCAGCAAGTCTGCAGATGACACCAACATGGGGGGAGTAGTAGATAAGCTGGAGGGTAGAGCTAGGATTCAGAGTGACCTAGGCAAACTGGACGATTGGGTCAAAAGGAATCTCATGAGGTTCAACAAGGACAAGTACAAAGTCCTGCACTTAGGACAGAACAATGTCATGCACCAGTAGAGGATGGGGGCGACTGGCTGGGCAGCAGCTCTGTAGAAAAGGACCTAGGGGTTACAGTGGACAAGAAGCTGAATGTGAGCCAGCAACGTGCCCTTGTTGCCAATAAGACTAATGGCATACTGGGCTGCATTGGTAGGTGTGTCACCAGCAGGTCAAGGGAAGTGATTATTCTTCTCAATCCTGCACTGGGGACGCCACATCTGGAGTACTGCGTCCAGTTTTGGGCCCACTGCAGAAAAGGATGTGGACAAATTGGAGAGTCCTGCAGAAGGCAACAAAAATGGTTAGGGGGTTGGGACACATGACTTGGAGAGGCTGACAGAACTGGGCTTATTTAGTCAGAGGAAGAGAAGACTGAGTGGGGATTTAATAGCAACCTTCAACTATGTGAAGGGGGGTTCAAAAGAGGATGGAGTGAAACTGTTCTCGGTGGTGGCAGATGACAGAACAAGGAGCAATGGTGTCATTTTTCAGCAAGGGAAGCTGAGGTTAGATATTGGGAAGAATTTTCTTACTAGGAGGGTAGTAAAGTAGTGAAGCATTTTACCCAGAGAGATTGTAGAGTCTCCATCCTTGGAGGTTTTTGAGACCCAGCTAGATAAAGCTTTGGCTGGGATGATCTAGTTGGGGATGGTCTGGCTTTGAGCAGGGGGCTGGACTAGATGACTTCCTGAGGTCCCTCCCAATCCTAATTGTCTATGATTCTGTGATGATCAAAGTTATCTGCATGATACCCGACTGGGACATAAAACACCTGTTGTGAGAAAGAAAGGTCAAGCAAAACATCATTTTTCTTTCCCTTACCCTTTTTTTTTTAAAACAGAAAAGACCTGTTAACCAAGTTCACGATGGAATCCTTTAACAATAGTAACGTGCAACTTTTCTTATTTAAATATGTCTAAAAATAAATGGCATGCTATAAGTTTTCAATAGTTTCATTTATGCATTTTATAAATCAGTGCGTCATAGACAACTCAAATCAAATGATTTGTGCATTCCAAGCTATTTTATAACTTGATTTTGTGCTGTGTAGCTGTACAGGTTCTTTGATTAAATCTTTTCATTATCAATATACATTCTTTTAACAAGCAGTTATTTACATCTTTGCTGTTTTCAGACATGGGAGGAGCTGGCTACTGACCAACTCCAATGGCACCGTAACCTCAACCATGCAGCTGCTCATTTTGAGGTAAAGCATCTTTCCCTTGAAGCAGAGAAGAGAGAGCGGAAGAAGGAAAAGGAGAGGAAGCCTGGCATATGGCCTACCCTCCCCCCTGCAGAAAGACCTGCAACTTCTGCAGAAAGATCTGTGGCTCAAGGATTGGACTCTTAAGTCATCTCAAGACCCATCAATGAGCCGTGGTAGAAATCCTTCTCAAATTGAGGGATTGCTGACAATGACAACAACGACATTTTCAGCCATGTGCAAGGGAAGGAGGCTATTACAGTTTTCCTTTCAAGAAGCCCCATCTCCTTGATTCTTACCCTCTTGTGGTACGTGCAGTCACTATAAGCTGTAACGCTTTTGCTTGCAGTCTCATGTGATGAATAATGACCACTTGTCTATTTTCTACTCCACTGTACATGAACTCCATTTTATAAGTTTCTTCCATAATCTACAGTATAGACAACATGGGATTAATTGATTATCAAACTGTTAGGTTGGTCGGCAGGCACGGTCATTGATTCTACTTCTTCTGCCTTTACTGAATAGCATATTATTCCACAAGTAGCCCCAATTATTTCAGTGGAACTATACCCATGGAATGATGTACTGCCTAACAGGCATAAGGGCATCAGAACCTAAATCTCCATGTAAATTAAAGAAATACAATGCACAACCCTTGAGGAAATAAGCAGTCCTCTCTCTGTGTCTTCTCCTGTATCCTGTCCTCCTCGCATCTACATAGTAAGCTTCACGGCAGGATACTCACTAGCCACACCCTATATTACTCATGCTAGCCTGCTGCATCAGTCCAAGACAGTGACTCTGAACCACGGTACCATGGTACCCTGGGGTTCCTCGAGATCCTTTCAGAGGTGCCATTTGGTCTCATGCAATATTTGCTCTGTTAGGTGTGCAGATATGATTCACAAGATAAACTGAGAGATTTCAAATAGGAATCCAGTGTTAAAAACATTCTGCCCTGTTGTAAGCTTTGAGTTCTTTGCAACCAAAGACTTGCCATGGTATTTTTCTGTAGTTAAAAACTGAGCAAAAACAAAGAGCTTATATTTTCCAAGGGGTTCTTTGAGCCTGAAAAGGTTGACAACCATTGATCTAAAAGGTAAGCAGCAGAAGGTACCAGACTCCAAAGAGGAGGGTGCTTCAGATCTGAAATAAGTGATTTAGAGTCCTTCACTTCAACAGCACTAGGCTGTATTAACAGAAGTGTTACTTGCAAATCAAGGGAAGTGATTCTTCTGCTCTATTCAGCACTGGTGAGATCTCATCTGGAGTACTATGTCCAGTTTTGGGCCCCATTCTAATACTATAAAGGCCATAGTCTGTTTATCCATAACACTTTATTCGCACTCTGATTGGTTGTCTGAAACAACCAAAGTGCTCCAAGAGTGTCCCAAACAGGAAGTGGTGGTGGGGTGCCACTATGACAGTGGGGACAGAGTGGGGGGGGGGAGGCCAATGTCACTGGCCTTGCCCCCCCTGCTCCTTGGAGGTGGTGGATGGAGTGGGCCTGGACCCCAAGTGGCAGTGGGGAGAAGGGGGGAGCAGCCCTGGGCCTGACGCAAGGGGGAGGGGGG